ACCAAGGACTGTTACCCAAAATATATAAAGAACTCTGAAAAGTCAATAAGAAAATGAACAACCCAACTTAAAAAAATGGACAAAAGATCTGAACAGACTCCTTACCAAAGAAGATACACAGGTAGCAAATAGACATATGAGAAGACATTCAACATTGTACATCATTAAGGAATTGTGAGTTAAAGCAATAAGAAACCACTGCACACCTATTAGAATGGCCCAAATCCAAAACCCCAAACTGATAACACCCAACGCTGGTGTGGATGTAGAGCAACAGGAAATCTTATTCACTGCTGATGGGAGTGCAAAATGGCGCAACCACTTTGGAAGACAATTTGATAGTTTCTTATAAACTAAACATACTGTTCCCACATGACCTAGCAATCATACTCCTTGCTATTCATCCAAATGAGATGAAAACTTATGTCCACACAAAAACCTACACACAGAAGTTTACAGCAGCTTTATTCATAGTTGCCCAAACTGGAAGCAACCAAGATGTCCTTCAGTAGGTGAGTGGATAAATAAACTGCTGCATCCAGACAATGGACTATTATTCACTTCCAAACAAAACAAAACAAAACAAACAAAAAACAAGTGCTCTATGTCTCAAAGACCAGGAGGAAACTTAAATGTTTATTACTTAACAAAAGAAGCCAATCTGAAAAGGCTACACCATGTATGATTTTAACCTATGACATTTTGGAAAAAGGCAAAGCTATGCTAATGGTAAAGAGATGAATGGTTGCCAGGGGTTGGGGAGTCAGCAGAGGGGTGAATAGGTGGGACATGGAGGATTTGTAGAGCAGTGGAACTATCCTGCCTATACATTTGTCCAAACCCATAGACTGTACAGCACCAAAAGTGTCCTCTCATGTAAGGTATGGACTTTGGGTGATAACAATGTGGGAGTGCAACTTCATCAACTATAACAAATTGATCATTCTGGTGGAGGTATTAGTCAAGATTCCCCAGAGAAACAAGACCAACAGACCAATAGAATGTGTGTATATTTATTGTAAGGAATGGGCACAGGTGATTATGGAAGTTGACAAATCCCAGGATTCACAGTCTACGAGTTAGAGACTCAAGGGAGAAAACAGCATAAATTCCAGTCCAAAGGGTGGCAGACTTGACACCCAGGAAAAGCCAATCTCCCTGTTGAAAAGCATCCACGCAGGAGGAATTCTTTCCTACTTGGGGGAGGGTCAGCCTTCCTTCTAGGCAAGCCTTAGGCCCACACACACATTATGGAGGGCAATCTACTTTACTCAGTGTACTGATTGTTAATCTCATCCTAAAACACCCTGACATTGCGGTAATCTGTGCATCTGTGAGGGCAGGACATATATGGGAACCCTTTGTGCCTTCTGCTCAATTTCTCTGTTAACCTAAAACTAAGCTAAAAAAGTAAATCTGTATTTAAAAAAAAAATTAACAACTCTGAATGAACAGCACCCTTTTCAAAATAGTAACCCCTGACTGTAACTGTATGAAAGTTGAATGAATCTTACAAAAACAAATTTCACATAAATGGAATTGAGTAACCAGATTAACCAAACAATTGTTCAAAAGTGGCCCCCAGAGCAGGTATGAACTCACACCCCAATCACATGATAATAATCCTAAATTGGCCATTTAAATGTCTATAATGATTATTCTGTTAGTATTGTGGATGAGGATTTCTGGGTATAGATAAAAGTAGTCAGGGAAATCTTCAGGTAAGACCTTTCTGCCACCCCCAGTGTAGACAATACAAGACCCCATTTAGAAGCCCACATTCAGCACACAGCCCATTCACACCAGGGCATACGAAGGTCCTAAAAGCTTTGGTAAAAATGAGAGAACATAGATTTTAGTGACTATGGCACCAGATTTGATGGATCGTTAGCTCCATAAAATCAGAGTTTGGCAAACTATTGCCTAAGCTTCAAATATGGCCCACCACATGTTTCTGCAAATAAAGTATTATTGGAACAGTATTATTGCCTATTTGTTTACTTCTTGTCAGTTGCTGCTTTTGTACTCCAGTGGCAATTATAACATCCAGCATCCGGACACAAATCCTATAGGATTTAGTGTCTGCCCCTTTGTAGAATAATCCTGCTGATGCCTGATAAAGTTCATCAATTGTCATTTTTTTTTACAGGGCAATTTGTCCTCTTTTAATTTTATAAGAAAAAAAGATACCACCTGTTCTAAAGGCGACATGTTATCCTGCATTGGATCCTGGACAGAAAAGGAATAGTAATTGAAAACCAAGTGAAATCTGAATGAAGTCTGTGTAGTTGGGTTAAAAGTTAATTTCAAGCTCTTCACAGGTGTATCGTGGTCACATAGGATGCTACATAGGATGCTACTATCGGGGGCTTCTCTGTACTATCCAGGTAAATATCCTGAAATTTTTAAATTACTCCAAAAATGTTTTTAAAAAGTTTATTTCAAGAAAAAGAGAAACTCTCAGCAAATAGATACTCAAAATATGCATTCAGAATGTAAAATTAAGTCTGTCTCCAATCGTAGCAGCGATGTGGCTATGAGTCATCCATTCATTTATTCAATAAACATTTAAGAACTTGCAACAGCAACCAAAAAACTCTTTTACATAAATACAGATAAACATCAGTATGCTTTTCAAATTTGGGTAATTTTATCCAAGCTGAATGTTGGAACCTGTTAAAATGTTTCTGGCGCAGGTAATGCTATCAAAAGTAAAGGCAGAAGGGATGGAAGATTCTTCCAAGGGCATTGTAGACAGGTGAGTGGAGCTCCAGATATGGAGGTAATTCAGAGACAGAGCAAATAAAAAGCTTTCATTTTTAATCTTCCCAGAGGAAGGTTTAAAAAAAAAGAAAAAGAAGAAGTACGAAATGAATACTTCCTTAAAGTATTTATGAGAAGAGAAGTTAAAAAACATCTTTGCACATCTGCTCCTTTTGCATGGGTTTAGGTTTCCTCCCTTGGACGCCTTCCAGACCCGAGCACCAGGAAGGCATTAACCTAGAGTCAATCCAAATTACTGAGGCTCGGGGACCAGTCTGAGTTTAGGCTGCTTTGTGACAGCACATCAGAGAGAACTTATTTATACCCCAGACAGATCGTGCTACGTTCAAACGGTGTTCTGGATGCCTGGAAGCCAGATACTTCAAAAGGCAAGAGTAGAAAAGAGAAATATGCTCTGGGGCCACATGTGCACTGGCGCTCCCAGTGGCCCTCAAGCTGGTCAGACCGAGGCCACGACACCCCAAAAGAGCGGCAAGCATGCTTGCCTTGGGAGATTCTGTAAGTCCTAGGATTTTATTTTTATTCTATCAATTGCACAAAGAAAGATGGCCCTCCTTGCTTTTTCTTCCTAAGGACATGTCCATACGTGTGGTTTGAGTTTGTCGGGCCATGGCAGGTCCCCCGCCTACCCTAAGGGGTTGAGCCTTCTAAGGGCCAACAGTTAGGAAGAGCCTACTACCACACCCCACTTCTCAGAGACTGAGACCGTGTGGTAAGCTCCGCAGTGACCATACATGTCCACTCCCTCCTTTCTTGGTCTCAGTTTCAGCCTCCCCACCCCCAGATTGAAGGAGTTGGAATAAAAACACTGGGGATCCCTGGGTGGCTCAGCGGTTTAGCACCTGCTTTTGGCCCAGGGTGTGATCCTGGAGTCCCGGGATCAAGTCCCACATCTGGCTCCCTGCATGGAGCCTGCTTCTCCCTCTGCCTGTGTGTCTGCCCCCCGCCCCCATGAATAAATAATAAATAAATAAAATTTAAAAATAAAAATTAAAAATAAAAACACTGAACACCCCTTGGGCCTTGAGATCTCAGGTACTTTGGGGGGGTCCAGTGACTTCTGGCATGCAGGTTCTCCCTGTGACCCTGCTGGGGACCTGTCTTCCAGCAAAGGTTCCTGCTCTGGTGCTGGGGCGTGGAGATTCTGGTATTCCACGTGGGGCACCCTTCAGAACATAGCCCACGGGAGCCTCTGTTCTGCTAGCCTCTGCGATTCAACACAGGCCACTGGGGGGCTCTCAGGAAGGACAGGTGGGGGGCGGGGTGTGTTCTTTGGTTTTTACTTCTTGTCTTTTAGTGAGAGTCATGGTTTTCCTTCCCATGCTGGAAATGAACTGTTTCTTTATCACCAAAGACCTGGGTTAGAAGTCCCAGCACCAGAACTAATCCAGAAATTTGGACTGAGATGGATGTGGGGTTCATTCAGCCAACTGACCCATCTCAGAGCAACAAGATGACCTCAGATGACCTGACGTCAGGAGCAACCGCTGGCCATTTGAAAATGTAGGCTGAGAAATGCTTGGTAACTGACCAGTTACAAGCAAAACTCACCTGAGATTTGGTAATGGAGCTACATGTAAAATCAAAATGGGGGGCACCTGGGTGGCTCAGTGGTTGAGCATCTGCCTTTGGCTCAGGTCATGATCCCAGAGTCCCAGGATCGAGTCCCTTGTCAGGCTCTCTGCAAGGAGCCTGCTTCTCCCTCTGCCTGTGTCTCTGCCTCTCTCTCTCTGTGTCTCTTATGAATTAATAAATAACGTCTTTAAAAAATGAAATAAAATAAAAATGGTTCATCCTCACATTAGAAAGACAAAAGGAACCATTTTTTCTATTAAATTATAAGTATATGCATCTGTTTTTTCTGTGGTTCTTATTCAATCTACTTTTCTAGGTCTGTGATGGTAATACTATATATAATTTACAGAAGTGCTTTTCCTGTTCAAGAGTATATTTTGCCTTACATGACCACATTGTGATTTTTTTTATAAATATCTTAAGAACCTAATAAAATTAACCATACTGCCATTTCATGAAATGTGAATATCTGCTCAAATTATACTCTGTGCTTTTATATTTTTCTACTTAGGTACATGTTTACCAGTGCCATAGCCAATGGCTTGTCTTTAAGCACACACTTCTGTTTAGAAAGTTCGGGTATTTATATATTCTTGCCTTCGAAAATTTTATAGTTTAATTCATTAATTAATAGTTTTCCCCTTTTTATGGAATGCTTCACAAATTTGCATGTCATCCTTGTACAGGGGCCATGCTAATCCTCTCTGTTATCTTTTTAATTTTAGCATACGTGCCGCTGAAGCAAGCACTAATTAATACATTTTGAAGTTTTACGCTTTGTCTTAAGCTAGTTGTCATAATCTTATAATAATGTCAGAAGTCAGACTCTTCTTATATCTGATACTTCCAATCATGTAAACTTATTTTTTTTAAGACTTTATTCATTTATTCATGAGAGACACAGAGAGAGGGAGAGAGAAGCAGAGACAACAGGCAGAGGGAGAAGCAGGCTACATGCAGGGAGCCCGACGTGGGACTTGATCCTGGCACTCCAGGATCACGCCCTGGGCTGAAGGCAGCGCTAATCCGCTGAGCCATCCTGGCTGCCCTAAATGATATAAATGATAATTTTACACAATTGTACCTAATATATCTGGTTGAGCAAACAACCAGAAAACTTTGCAAGTATTATCTTGAAGCTAATGAGAAGAATGGATGTACTCGAGTCACATTTTACATATGTACGCAACCCTGTTTCTCTGCATGCATCTGGGTAGATACATAATGATGTACTGCCCACGATTTTCTGAGCATGAGGAGTGAAAACCACAACTTAGTTGTGTATTAGAACCGGCAGGAGTTCTTCCCGTCGAAGGAAGCGATCTGATGATAGCAATGTTGTAATACAGTCTGTGGTGAGTTCTTTTAAGACACGATGTTCTGTTCTTGTCACAATCTAAGAAAATAATTTGTGAGAGAAAATGCAAAGAAATGAACATATATGGCTTGCAAATGTCAAGGGAGAATAAGGACGTACCTTCTTAAAGACATGCTGCCTGAGTGTTAGAGGGACCCCAGGACTCCGTGTGCATGTGCGCATGCACCCACGTGCCTGTGGGTAAGTGTGTGTGTGTGTGGGGGGGGGGTGCGTGCATGCATGTATTTCTACATTCATAGAAGATGAGCCAGAAAGTGCCCATTGATCTGAATTGAACTGGCTTGAACTTGTACACACTGGAATTGCATGAAAGGCGTCCCCAGAGATTTTGGAGGAAATGAACCAAAACCCCTGTTTCCAGTTAGGGTGGAATTAACTCTATAATTGAGTCTGGCACAGTGACTCTGCGAGCTAGGAATTTTGATAGATGGTGTTTGTGAGCTAAGCCAGGCTGGAGTTTCAACATAAATGACATGCTTGTTTCCAATTTCAGAAGAGTTAAATTCTAGAGCAAGGATGTCTTCATTTCTCTTTCTCCTTCTCTTCCTCCTGAATTTAGAAATAACTTGCAATAGAACAACAAGCAGGGATTTCTCAATGGATTCTCCCAAAGCAGTGACAGCTAACAGGAGGAAAGCCTGCCTCTCCAGGAGAGAGGGTGGGAACAAACCCAGAGTGACCCTGCAGCAGCCTACTCGGGGGTCATGCGAGCATCCCAACTCAGCCACACGGGCCTTCCAAGCAGCCCCTTCGAGGGGCCACTAGCCCATTTCCCCCTGGTTGCAGGCAGGGAACCCCTTGATCCCAGGTCCCCCCACGGGCCGGCAAGAACATGAGCATCAGAGGTGCCATAGGCAGTCAGCAGGCCCTGGGGACCCAGTTCGGTTCTGGGGAAGATGCTCTGGGGGCCAGGCTTGGTGTGTGGGAACTCCTCACATGAAGGCAGAAGAGCTGCTCACGGCACATTCAGGACAGCTCACTTGGCTAAGACTGAGCTCTGTAATTTGAACCTGGCTGCTCCCGTGTAACGAGCTAGGGAAATTTTCACCCTTCTAGGACTTGCCTCATGTATAGGAGGGAGATAAACATAGCAGTCGTTGTGAGGGAAACATGACGAATTGAATGGAAGAGCTTAGGGCAGAGCCTAGCACTTACTAGGACAAACAAGTGGCTTTCTACAGACGGTACATTTCATCTAAACCTCTCAGAAGGAAACAGGGCCTGGAAGTTTTGTCAGCCAGGGGTCTTGCCCATTCCTTGCAGGGAAGAAGAGAGCCATCTGGATGGCAGCAGAAGAGTGTCTTCTGTGGGAAAGGGCAGGAGGTGGCAGGTCACCCTGGATGACTGCACCGAAACCCAGAGTTCACTGGACTTTCCAAAACCTAGAGACAAGAAAGGAGATGGCTGCTCTCTACTCACTCACATTTTCTCTTCTGCATTTTCTTTTAGACAGAGGCTTCTACTAATCCAGACAACAGGAATAAGAAATTGGTCTAGTGGTAAAATTCTCTTTGCCACTGGGTCCCATCTTGGCTAGTTTTGATCTGAGAACTCTGCCCCACATATGCTGCAACAAGAAGAAAGCTCATGACGATGAGGACCATGTCCTCTGCAAGGTCAGCTGCCTCATGTTTTGCAAAGGCCTCCCTTAGATGTCACCACCTCACCCATGGGAGAATTAGCTGTCCGTTTTACTGGTGACAACCAGAAGGAACAAGCAAAGCATTTGCCTTCCAACGTGCCAGCCAATAGCCATGGAGTCCAGCATCCAAGGAGTCAAACACCCAAGAGGTGAATGAGCCTCTGTACCATGGCCCATGCCTGAGGCTGTCCTGCCATCAAAATCCAAACACTGCGTTTCTACAGGGTCCTGAGTCTCAGATTTGCAAGGCTTTGATTTGTATTTTTAAAAGAACTGAGCCCTATGAAAGCATTTATATTAAAGATGAAATTATTTAATTTGACAAAGGAACGAGTCTCAGGAGATTCAGAGGGAAGCAGGCAGGACTTGGCACATTTCCTTTATTCTCTTATCTTAAGCCCTGTATCAAAGAATGTAAACAAAAGCTTTTTCTTTTATATTTATGTGCATCTGTCTAAGTTGGCAATATCAATATGCTCCACACGTAATGGTATATATTTGCTTACTGGGATAGACTGGATTAAAAACTGTTCATCTTTCTGGATGGGCTCTTGCAAGCTACAGATTCAGAAATCCTAAAAGCAAATCTTACTAGGGCAAACACATTTTCTCTCTAGCAGTGCTGTCACGGAAGGGAATGTGCTCTGGGACCAGTGCCCATACATTTCAGCTATGATTTTAGAACATCATTTTAAAACAAATATATACATATATATACACACACACATATATATGTGTATATGTATGTATGTGTATATATATATATAAAATCTCTAAGTTCACTCCAGCTCAATTTTGATTTTGGTAATGGCTTGCCAACAGTAAGGAAGAAATTACAAGTGGATCTGGTATTTGTCCCTGATGAATGCTGGTGCAGATAAACATATCCGCTGTCGATGACGAGCATGCGAAATTTCTCATCACTGCTTTAAAACAACGATGGCCGCAGCTCAGAAGCCTCACTTGTGGATCTCAGGGGATGGATCTCAAAAGCACACTTAAGAGTTTAACCTTTTCAGCAAAGGGTATGTTAAAAAGAGTCAGATTCCAGAGAAAATGGAGAGAATCTAATAAATATACATAGATTTTTTTTTCCAGGCCATGAGTCCATTTTAGATATCAAATATTTGTTGCAAAATGGTCATTGCACTTTTGAGCCTGCTGATGGTGGCTACTGCGTGCAGGGCATATTATGGGAACAGAGGAGCGCTACCCTGGGACTCATCCAATTCAAGCATATAACCAAATTGCTTGATATAAATACAGGAAGGATATCCAATGTCCTCTGCAATCCTTGGTGCTTACATACATACAGCCTGTGTCTTTATTGTGCTGGACCTCTAAGCAGGACTAAACTATGATTTGTTTGTTTGTTTGTTTGTTTGTAAGAGAGAGAGGCAGAGACACAAACAGAAGGAGAAGCAGGCTTCCTGTGAGGAACCTGATGAGGGACTCGATCCCAGGACCCCGGGATTACTCCCTGAGCCAAATGCAGGCGCTCAACCACTAAAGCCACCCAGGCACCCCTAAATTATGATTTTTTTAATGTAACCTAAAGTATGTCTGTGTTTCTCTCTAAGTTTCTCTTTCTATATATAGATATGTGTGTGTGTGTGTACACACACATACACAAATGCAAAGATCAAGAATTTACTAAAAATTTAAAGTAGTGATCTTACAGAGCTAATTAAAATAGTCATATATATTCATAGGGAATTACTGATAATAAATAAGGTATATTTCACAATTGAGTATTACTGAGTCACCAAAATAGTGTTGGACACGGTATCTGATAAAGGAAAAGATGTTCCCCAAATAGTATTAAGTGAAGATAAGAAAAGACGTTTTCAAGTATGATTGTCTTTTTATAAAAATAAGTGCACAGAAGAATACTGTAATAATAACCCCCCGAGATTGAACTGTGATTATCTCCAGGCAAGGGGATCACCGGATGTTTCTTCCTTCCTTTAGTTTATCAGCATCTTGTGCTTTATTTTTATTGACTATATGTGGCTTTTATCCTAAGAAGAACCATCAGTGTGCCTTCAGGGTTGAAGCTGGGCAGGAGGCCGCTGGCTCCTGGGACAGGAGCTTGAGATTTCCAAGTAAGCTTTTGACAACAGGGGCAAGTTGCAGAACTTAAACACTTTCGATCCCAAAGGTGTTCCTCAGAAAGCTTGTGCCACCACCATGCAGTCCCCTTCTCCAGGCAGACCTCCACCACGGAGCCACGCTCCCAAAGCCTTGGGTTCCCTGGCTCGCCCATCCTTTCAGCCAGGCTGATTTAGGCCCTCACTGCCCTTCTGTCTTCCTTCTGCCCATTCAGTGTGGAGGCAGAGAGAAAGAGTCATTCAAACAGCTGCCAGAGGCACAGAGAGTTATTTGTATAACCAATGAGTTCTTCAGGAAAAACAACAACAACAACATACTTACCAAAAAAAAAAAAAAAGTCTAAGTCAATTGTGTAGGAAAAATACTTTGAGGCACAAATAAGCAAGATAGTAAATAAGGTCTTGCTCTTGCCAGGTGCCCTGATGAAGCCCACGCTCCCAGCGGCAGCAGCAGCAAACAGGCATGCTTGAGTGCTCTGTGGCCTGTTTTCTTTCTTTCTTTCTTTCTTTCTTTCTTTCTTTCTTTCTTTCTTCTTTCTTTCTTCTTTCTTTCTTTTCTTTCTTTCTTCTTCTTCTTTCTTCTTTCTTTCTTCTTCTTTCTTTCTTTCTTTCTTTTTT